GATCTTTAAAAAAAGGTTACTTTGGGTTTGCGAAAGGTTTTGTTGCATGTCTGAAAATTTCATCCCTATCCTTGTTCCCGTCCGAGGATAAGGATATAGCTTTTGAATTTCCTATCCTTGCTCACGTACGTCAGTTAATTTTCAGATATGCAACAAACAGGCACCCAATGCTATTATAGCAATTTTCTATAGGCTAGGGCTCTAATCTGCAACAGGAGGCTCCGACTGAAAATAGTGCATTTGTTGTAAGTGCAAATTAGCGGGCAACCGCATAATGGGTATCAGAACTAGAAAGTAGCTCTTATTGTCGCTGTTATGGGATCTTAGTTTTGTCTGCCAAGTGACACAGATTTAGGTATCGTGAGACATTCTCAAATAGAAACGGACATAACATTGGTCGGGTTTCTTCTTCCTACATTTCTCACAGGGCATCCAGGCACCACAAATTGCTATACCAAGCTTCACTTCCGTAACTTGGGGTTACTGAATCGACTTGCCAGATTCAGCTTAAGCAATACTTGCAATTGCATCGTGAGAAGGAGCTCGGAAAATGCCAGGGGCTAGTTGCATTATTGGTCTTAAATTTTATTAAATACGATACCTCCTATCTAGCTTTATTTCCTACTTCTAATTTTATTCGGTACCAATCGAGATCTATTTTCTAAAAGCATTTCTACCATGACCCAGCCGGGTGGAACCTTGGTATCTTGACCTCTCACTGCTTGATAGCATAAGTTCTTCGATACACATCGTCTACACTCTCCAAGTAGTATGTTCCAGGTGCCAAGGAGGCTACATCACCAACAGGTTTGAAATCCTTGGATCCATATGCATTCTTCCTAAAAGTACAAGCCTTTTGTTATGTTAGAGTATATTCTAGATATATCACACTCTCAGAACTCACCTCTTCGTACTCCTCGGGTGTCGCGATATGTCGTTGCTTCAGACGATCCATCAAATCAATTTTTTGGACTAAGTTGGTAAGATCGCCGGTAATCTTTAGACCAAAGAGAGAGCTAGCAATGCCACTTCCGAACTGAATCGTGGATTTAGGTCAGTATAGTATCTTGGGCGTGGTCAAAAAACAAGATTTCAGTCACTCACGCCGAATAATCCGATGGTTTTACCCTCCGCTGCTGTAAGATCAATATTGCTAATCAAGCTAATGAGAGAGCAATATAAACTGCCTGTGTACATATTGCCGCATAAAGAAGGCGCGGCAATACATGGCTCAACCCGCTTTTTGAATTCATCTTTCGTGATAGCCACAAGGGTTTTCTCTAGCGTCTTGTCTTTCAAGGATTCTGAATAGCTCAACTTGCGGAGTTCACCAGGAATCCCTTCCCAATCAGCATCTTCGGTCGATATTAGACAGTCGTTGTACTTAAGTCGGCCATAAGATTTGGAAACTAATTTGCAGTTCGGGGTATGGAACGCCATATAATCGAAGAGGTCAAGAACCCTCTTGGGCATACTCTTAGAATTATCTCCATTGAGTTTGTTTCTAGCCTCAATACGCTCAAGCAGGTTCTTATGACATGAATCCAGTGCGCCGATATAACAGCCAATAGATTCATGGCCATTCACGATAGGAAACTCGACATTAGTATCCGGCTTATAGAAATCATAAGCATGAGTCATATAGACGCCTTTCAAATCTGGATCCAGTGATAACAGGGCATTTGGGCCAATAAGCATAGCGACGCATCCAGCACCTCCAGTGGGTCGAGAAGCAGCCTCTTTATAGAGAGCTATATCTGATGCCACGACAATGGCATCTCTCCCGTCCCACGAACGAGATTCTACCCAATTGACGGCATTGAATAGGGCATTGGTACCGCCATAACAGGCATGGATTGTATCGATTCCTTCTAGACTCGTGTTGCCAGATGGCTCGAAGAGAGTTGTGAGAACTGATTTGACGGATTTGGCTTTGTCGATGGATGATTCGGTACCGACTTCTAGACGTCCAATGGATTTAGGATCGATGTTGAATTTACGGAGTAGTGAAGAGACAGCCGTTAGAGCTAGAGAACACACATCTTTATAGATTGTTAGCATCACATGATTTCGATGCCTTAAAAATAGTCGGATTGGCTAACGAGCTTCAATGGCGTGGACTTACCTTCTCTATCGGTACAAAAGTTCATGTACTGAAGACCTAATCCAATGGTATATTTACCAGCTGAAACGCCTTGATGTTTTTCGAATAGTGTTTGATCCAGACACTTTTCCAATCAGTAAGGTGAACTGAAACTCGCGGGGGTTATAAGTGATATTACCTGTGCTGGGACATAAATTTCCATGGCTTTAATGCCAACATTCTTAGGGTACGTCATCGTGCGACTATTCCAACTTAGGAGATTCTTGTTCAAAATGAATGGGAACTAAAGGAGGAGAAGATAGTGTGTGACTTCAAGATTTTGGACCTGAGTAGTCTCTTTTAGTACTCGCCATTCTCACAGGAAAGGAGGGGTCAAATCGGCTAAGCCTGAAATAGTATGGTGGGTACGAGGAGGCTTAGCGGACCTTAGCGCTGACACTGTGGAGATGCCCGTCAACACAAGATATCTTTTTCGGGTTAGGACCCGATTGCAAGTTCGTTTGAAACAAGGTTATACTGTTATGGTGATTTGTTGAGAGTCTCGGTGATCGAAAAAGTGATATTTTGATGTCTGCCTCTGCAAATAGATAAGAACAGAAACCACGTGCTTGAATCGTTATTAGAAAATCTTCTTTCCTGCTCCTCAAAACTGTTTACTAGATAGATATATGGTTCTCAATCTTTCAATATGTTCGAACGTTCTAAGTCAGTATAGTGAATGATGATATCAGCAACCGTATTTCCCAAAGGAGTGCATTGGCAAATATGAACTTTTGCTTTTGTGCAAAATCTGTTGGGACGACTATAATGCGTGACATTTGAGACAAAAACTATACATCGGAGAGAAGTGTAAAAGAATTCGAAGTCGACTATCTTTCGGCACATCTGCAGCGGTCAGGAACTGTTTATCTATTGCCAAGGGTTCCGGCTTATGCCCCGAGACTTTCAAACGCCCGGGTATGGGGCTCAGGTGTGATGTGTTACGCAAACCAAAATACCCAAAATGGTTCTGATGAGAATGAACTTATCCGAATTATTGCAACTGTTGCTCAGCCATTGAATGATCCCTGATTTGCTGAAAATCTCGTGAAATACGGAGAAAAGAAATGAACTCATATGACGTTGGGATATAGTATTCAAGGGTTGAATAATCCCTGATCTGCTGAAAGTTGACATGATATCTGAAACAAAACTTAGGTGGATCCTTTATCCGAATACCAGCCCCATAAAATAAAAGGGGAAGCCACATAACCGCCATAGACACACAAATTATGTAGCCAAAGCAGAACATAAATACTTATACATTCACGTTAAAACAAGTCAATTAGTCAATACACATATCACATATTGTGCATAACTTTAATTATACTAAGAGTTCTTGGATGATTTTATGTGCCTTAATCTGCAGGAGTTATTCAGACCTCGATGCGAGCTGACGCTTTTTTCAATTAGTAAGATGAAGATACTCCGTCCAACAAGAACAAATCAGTGCAAATCAATGATATACCGAACGGGTGATACTTTGAAAGTAAATTCTTCACATTCGGGTCGTAATTAACGGTGTTTCCAATCAGCGCCCATCGCATATAAGCAAGTTAACGAAACGATTCCCGGCAACGAAAACTTCACAAACAAAAGTGCCAAAAAGATAGGCATATTCAGACTCGAACTTATATCTCCTGCACTCACAGTAGAGCTTCTCTAACGGAATGATTTTCTGTGCAGCCCATGTGACCACTTATACGCATGAGCATCCCGCTCGTGGAGTCGCCTACACTTCGAAAGCTATTCTACCTTTGAGCCATACGCCTTATTAAATCCGTTGCTATGAAAGTCCTTTTTCTGATATGTGAAGATTGATTAACGATATTCATAGAAATATTGGAAAGTGGGTTATGTAGGTTGATGTCACTTTAGGAAGGAGCCTTTGTATTTTCCACTAATGCCCACTACACAAGGTAACTAAATGTATTCGCAAAAGAATCCCCAATTTCTGAGAATGAGAAAGATCGAAAAGAAAGAGTAAAATATCAATAAAAATGGGCTTAGTGAGATTTGAACTCACATCACTCGCACTCACGGTAGGCTTTCGGAACGTACATACGCCCTAGACTTCCTGCGGAATAGTCCGTAGACCCATCGCGGGAAGTCGGCCACACTTAAAGACGATTATTCTACCTTTGAACTATATGCCCTTAGCTGTTTTAAGATTCTTGTTCGTAATGGATGATGCTGGGATTAATCTAGTTCTGGATAGCTGGCCATTTGGGGGTATGTGCCATGCCCTGTCAGGAAGGAGCATTGTGAAGTTTGAGGAAAGATGTATCCTCCGAACACACATGGTGCAGATTCTTAGATTAGTATGAAGGGAGGTAACATTTGATTGAACCTTCTGGTTCTCCTAGGATGAAAAAGAAATTGACAATTAAAGGGGGGGTGGAAAGACAACAGGATATAAAAGCAGACACATTTGTGCGCCGTATTCTAAAATTGTAAAATTGTAGTCTAGAATGGATGTCAGACTCTCATCCGAATTTTGGTAACTGAGCCAAAAATAATGCTACTGAAGATGGATAGAATCGAACTATCGTTTCATGCACTCACGGTAGCTGTGGTAGTTTGACCTCTTTCCCGACCTCAGGAATGTGATCAGGCCTAGATTACTCCTTGCCACAGCACACTTCGAAGCATGTGTCTTGACCACTGGACCACATCCTCTGTTATTTGTTTGGTGTTTGCTTTTAAGATATGACATGATATAGTATAGCTGAATGACCCCAATTATGCGATCAAAAAAGATATACTAATTTTCATTGACAAAAATGACCAGAGGAAAAACCAGTACTATGGATTCCATAACAAAAAACGACCACCATTCAAAGTATTAAAAGTGAAATGGGGATGGATAGAATTGAAATATCGCCTCATGTTCTTAAGATGAAGTCACTACTCATAAGAGTTGCCCTAAAGGCACGTAATCAAGCTGATAAAAGCCCACTTCATGACAAGTACCTTACCACTAGACCACATCTCCAATATACATTAACCTCCTCTCGCGAATGTCTAACTATGTAGTCTTGCAACTGCGAAATCAGGGCAAGGCTTAGTAGCCGCACCTTAGACTCCCGAGAAGCAGAAATACTGAACACCATCTACACAGGAATATAGATGATATAACCGAATCCAAAAAAAAAAAATTTAATAATAGGGATGTATAGAATCGAACTATTGCTAAATGAGCTCACGGCAAATCTTAGATTACCGGAATCGCCTTATGGCGCCCACAGTCCCTCCAAGATCTTACTTCCGTGTCACTTGTCTTGCTACTAGAAAACATTCCACGGTACTTGTTGTCCTCCAATGGCTTATGCCTTATAATGATGACTGATGACAATGAGAAAGGAAAGAGCTTAGTACCGGTCCCACCCCCCGGCCGCTGTACCTGCTCTCCGGAAGAGAAGAATCGCCCTTCTAACGCCCACTATAGAATTCCCCTTTCCATCCCAAAAATGAGATTTTAGGATAGCAAAACTATATGGGATGGATAGATTCGAACTATCGTCACATGAACACACGGCAAATATATGTATGCACAATCAGGGTTACCAGCAACTATGGGGTTCATCAGGAGATCAAACTAGAAATCAAGTGTCTCAATCACTAGACAAATCGACATTTCTTTCCCCATCAAATTTAAATAGATTTCTAATATACAGATGTTGTTCCATGGTATTAGCAGAAACGTTGCCTTGAAAAATCACAGTTGCAAATAGACGAACATGTCTTACGTACAATCGATGTATGTTGCTATGCGAATTTATAAATGTCGACTACTCCGATCCCTCGTAAGAAATTAAGACTTATATGGTTTCGAAATTCTATAACTGCAAGATCTTCCACTGACTTAAAAGACAACAATGCAACGGAAAAGGTTTTACTGCGGCTGTCAATTGATGGGATATTCCTAGATTCTTTAATTTTTAAAATGATGGGTTCCTAGGACCATCGACAGTCATCCATAACTTCATATCAAGGTGGGACTAGTGTTTTGATATATTGGGCAAAAAGTTACAATTAACTGTCCATAACTTCACAAAGGTGGGAATTTCCTTGAAAACCATTGTCTACTGGTTGCAGTCCTCTGCGAAGCTACGTAAGGCAAGACTACTTCGCAACGGGATAACAATTGATGATAGACCGGTTGGTTGCTGTAACTTATTACGGCATGTCTCAACAGGGTACTGTAGTTGACCATGATCCCAAGTAACAGGGAACTATTCTTCAGTCTTATAGATCTTGCAAGAATATTGCTATCTAGTAGCTATAGGAACCTTTGTCACCCCTATATAACGGCTCAATGTACTGGATTTAATCATACGGAGCAACAGCGAGCTCACTCTACTATCCCCTGTATAAATTTCAACTGAAATCACATCTTCACATAGGTCTCTGGACCTGATACGGCTCTTAACACCATTCAATCAACCAAATGATTGCTGTAGTTTATAACTCCGCATTCTGACAATTTAATTAATGACCATAACTCCGCCTCCACGTGCTTGCTACACCAGTAGTTCTCCATAACTCCACATCACAATGGGACTACTCCACAACCCATATCACTTTCAAAGCCATTACCAATGACCTGTCAAGAGATTGTAATCGTCTCCTCCACCTCATCTCCCACCTGAGCCAAATCAAGCTCATTGCATGACCAACTATTTTGACTGTCTCATTTTCGCTGGTTTCTGAAAGCTTTCCCTAAGAGCTTCCCTTGATGGTGCCTTAACACGACAAGACTAATTTGTCCCAACTTTGAATTCCGAATAACTTATTCAAAGTTGTCACTTCGAAACCCAGAAAGGCAACCTCAAAAGTTCGTGAGGCACAAGTGCTATCCCTTACCGCACTGAAATGATGGAGTAGTCTGAGTCTTCTAACTATCACATTAATTTCTCAACTGCTGAGAGAAGATAAAGAGTTCGGATAGATCTGAGCACTGATGCAATACGCAATATCATGACATGGAATGATCATTGTATGTTCTAAAAGTTCTTGACTTAAAGTGCCCCGTATTGAGCTCGGGATAAAATATCGGTACAGAGAAACCCAACAACATATGACAAAGTCAAGAGCATTACTCATATGTATTCAGAACATAATTCGAAATATGCAGCACTCATTATCTCGACTAGAAACCGAGTAACTGCAAAGAGGGAAACAATTCCAAGGTTTGATTTTCAAGAACGTTCATTTAGAACTCTCGAAAAATCTATGTAAATGTATTACGAAAGAAGTTCTTGATGGGAAAGGAGATGGAACAATAAAAGTTCAATTCTCAAGTGCAGTGTATTCATACTTGTCTAGGCACTCAAGACACTTATCTTCGAGTAGGCATGAGTCAAATTAAGTGAACGTTTCTTATCCTTCACGGTTTATCCCTCAGAAAATCCTGAGGAATATACAATCAACCAAAAATGCGTAAAAAAATTCATCATCATCCACGAAATTCCACTGCATGTTGAAACGCAGTCTACTCACGGTAATTTAAAGAATAAATCTCTGAATGGTGCAGAAATTGCAATGAATTTTGAATTTTGAAACTTCAAAATTAACAAATTTTCAGATATGGAAAATCATGTTGTTGCCCAGACATTTGGCATTTTCACCCCTATCAAAGTGGCAAACCAACATTGAAATTGGCGAAAGCGACTATCAAGATAAGCGCGCAAGCGCGATGGCACCCTCAATTCAAAAATGACATTCCTGGTTCCCGACACCTAATTGGAGCCTCTCCGCCTCTCGCCACATTCAGGACCCCTGAAAATCCACATGCTTCGAGAGTGATGTGAAACTAACCTTTGGTAAGGTAGCGAAACTAGTCTCCAATAAATCGGTGAATAATAAATTAAATAAATCAAGCTGCTCAAGACTTCACCACACCACATCACAACCACATAACAATATTGAAAAAGTTGTGAAGAGTGGTAATCAACAATTCTTCATCATGCCGCCAGTAGCTACATCTACAATTACGACGTCGACATCCAATGGATCAGGAAGTCCACGATTAAGGGTAAATGGAGGAGGAGAGGGAGGAGGAGTTTCAGGAAAGAATGAGGAGGGGTCCCCTCCACAGATAGATATTGATGTAAAAGAACACGATTTCTTCTGGACATATACCGAGGAACCACATCGAAGTAGACGTTTAGCAATTATTAAAGCTCATCCAGAGGTACGTACCTATCCAACCCTTAATTCCCCATGCATATCCCTCAATCCACAAAGACTAACCCCCTCCTCACCCCACAGGTAACCAAACTGTGCGGTCCAGAACCCCTCACAAAATACGTCGTCCTCCTCGTCGTATCAATCCAAATCCTCTGCGCCTACCTCCTCCGCAACACCCCCTTCCTATCCTGGAAATTCTTTCTCACTGCCTACATAATCGGCGCCACCGCAAACCAAAACCTATTTCTCGCCATCCACGAAATTTCCCACAATTTAGCTTTCAAAAATGCGAATTTGAATCGGGCATTGGCTGTTTTCGCCAATTTACCTATTGGGATTCCGTATTCTGCTTCTTTCAGAGTACGTTTACATGCCTACCTACCAAATCTTTTGAATCGGAAAAGCTAACCCAAGAATACACAGCCATACCACCTAACGCACCACAAATCCCTCGGCGTTGACGGACTAGACACCGATCTCCCCACGCGCTTCGAAGCCATATTCCTCGATTCCCTCCTCGGAAAAGCCTTCTTCTGCACCTTCCAAATCCTCTTTTACGCCATCCGACCCATATTCATCTACGCCGTCCCCTTCACCTCCATCCACATCATCAACATCCTCACCCAAGTCCTCTTTGACATCCTCCTCGTAAAAACGACCAACTCCTACAACTCCCTGTACTACCTAATCCTCTCCGCCTTCCTCGCAGGATCCCTACACCCATGCGCAGGGCACTTCATAGCCGAACACTACGTCTTCGAGCGCCAACCCCTCCTAGCACGAGACCCCAAAACCGGCGTCGAAATCCCCGAGACGTTTTCCTACTACGGTCCTCTAAATTTCTTTACCTACAACGTTGGATTACACAATGAACATCATGATTTTCCCGCGGTGCCTTGGACACGTTTACCCGCGCTTCACGAGATGGCGAAGGAATTCTATGCGGAGTTGCCGAGACACGAGAGTTGGATCTATGTGATTTGGCAGTTTGTGTGGGATAAGGAGGTGGGTATGACGTGTAGGGTGAAGAGGAAGGAGGGGGGCCGAAAAGTAGGGGGGTGGACTCAGCAGGAGGTGCAGGCCTAGGTGTAGCTTCTAGATGCATTTAGATCTATGGTTTTGAGAGTTGTTGCTTTTACGGCTGTGGAAGGGGGATATAATGATGATAGACTTGTATATATGAATATGAGATGAGATAAGATGGGTTATAGAATGCATATATTACTCGGCGTTCACATATATCACGTATTATACGTACATATTTTCCAAGATACATACACATACACGCATAATGACGATATCAAATATCTCTCTTGCAATTATACTTACTTAACTACCTACCTATCTCCGTATCACACACAACACAGCCAGCCCCCAATCATCTCAGCACTCATTATATCACCTAATCACTCAACCTCTCATTCTCATTCTCACGCTACATACATAGGTACATCCATACAAACGATGATTGATATAATACCAGCATTTCAATATTTTCCATCCATCCACCCATCCATGCCAGTTCAGCTAGGCTAATCCAGCCTTTAGACCCTCTTCTCTCTTCTCTCTTCTCTCTTCTCTCTCTTCTCCTCTATCTCTCCTCTATCTCTCCTCTACTCCATTCCATTTCACCTTCACCATCACCTTCCACATCCCATCCACACCCCCATCCATTTCTGCAACCACAATTATGAAAATCAGGCATGGTAAGTAAAGTAAGCAAGTACTATGTATGTATATCCACAAACAAGCATAAAATGAAACCCCGCTCCTACCCTACCGTACCCCATCACCGCACAAATG